TCTCTCCGGCGAATCATGTTCGTTACTGGTCTTTGTAGTTTTCTCGTGCTGTGCTGTTGTGCTGCTTAATTGCAGTTGTGCGGTAGCTGTGAACCTTTTGTTAGCTATTGGTGTTGTTGTAGCAGAAACTGTTACTTCCGCTGGTGGTTGCGATTTCGGCAAAGCTGGTGGCGGCGCATTGTCTAAACTTAATTCAGCATGTGTCTCATTGTCAGTTTCAGTATCTGAAGTATCCATTTGGGTGTCAGTTTTACTGTCTTCAGTAACGGATATCGGTTCACTATTCGCTTCTGGTTCATTTTCACCATCGATAGTATCGTTGAGGAATGTATTGAAAGCACTGTTCATTTTATATTGTGCTGCATTTGCTTCCATGTGCTTAAGACTCTTCGATTTTTCCTCATCGCTAACACTCTTCTGCAGCAGTTTATGATTTTGAATTGTTTTGCTATCCTCAACTGGTTTAGTTTTCTCGAAGAAAGCTAAACGATCTGCAATGGAACTACGCACATTTCTTGACTGCGGACCAGAAGCTACAGCTGTACTTGTACTTGCTAAATTGTCTGCAGTATGATCACTTAAGGGTGTACGCAGTTGTACGCTACTGGTGGATACATCAGCAGCGAGCACTTCTTCATCTGGACAAGTTTCGCAGCAGTACTCATCATCTACTTCTGTCTCATAGAAGCTGCCTGGAGAGAGTTGTGAACCGCATCGTGCACATTTAAGGCAAGTACGATGATAAGTTCTTTTGCCAACTGTTAGACGTTCTGCTAAAAACACTGGCAACTGGCACTTTTGACAGGGATCACGCCTGGGAACACCAACGTGAGCCATCTACAAATAATAAAACTCAATTATTATTACTGAAAACGAGATTTAAAGAAATTTATTAGATTTTATTAGTAAACTTTATTAATACATTTTTAGAGTAAATAAATAATTCATTCATTTAAATTTCTTCAGTAAAGAAATATATTTTAAAGGTTTTTTGGTGTTATAGATGACCTTTTGCGCATAAATGGAACCCTATTTCTCAATAACATTTTTGACTGTGATATAATTAATAGCCAAAATTAATAAATATGGCTTTACTGGACTTCTCCCTACGTTACAACATTTCAAACATCTTTAAATTATTTCTTTGGACACAAAAACTTATAGCAATTAAATTAGATTCTCCTCTTTTATTCAAACCATCCGTAGTTAAAATTCAAGAAGATTTATTTTTTGTAAAGGTAATCTACGCCTTTGAAAAAGATTTTTTTCCAAGATCCACATCTATGATATCTATGATAAGTTCAATAGTTCGAAAGTTTTTAAAGTAGATGTCTTAATCTAACTATAGGTATATATTTACAAAATAGCAAACATTTATAAAGATAATAATTAATCGATGGTATACATTGAAAAGAAAGCAACTTCTACACAAAATTATTGTGTTTATTCAATATATAAATAATTTTATAGAAATATTCCGAACTAAATTCTTTCTAAAATTATTAATATTTTACTTGAAAACTTTAATCGAACTCATAATATAATTTCAAAAAAAACCATTCTAACAATTATATTTATCTTAGCACTTATTGAGTAACATAATTAAAAGTATAAACAATTTCAAAATTAAAGAATTCTTTGGCATTGCATAGATCAACTGTAGGAATTTTGAAATACCAGAATATTTAAAACTCGATAATAAAAGAAAAACAATGAATATGATTATAAATATAAATACAAAAATTATCATCAAACATTCATGAGGTGCTTAACATTTCAAAGCCTATACTGAAAAATTTTAAAACCATATCAGAAGTTAAAAGATAATAAAATAATAGAGGCGCAAAAAAAATATATATATAAATATATATTTAAGTGATATTGGTTGGAAAAAATAAATCAATTATTTAAGTGAACTCTGTATATTATGATGAAAAAATGTCTTCATCCGAATATGTATTCCTTTTGTTTATTTGTAGGTAGTTCTAGGTCACATAGTACAGTACATACTATGGATTAATTCTTTTTATTTTAAGACTTACAAAGCAATAAGTGACAGAATCATACAATATTTATATCTGAATTCCAACAAAGGTCCTGAGTTGGAATTGAAATTACTAAATAAACTAAATTCGTGAAATAGTATAATAAATAGATTATGTTAAGATAACGATCGTTAGTTATTAATATTGATGCTATTCAAAATTTTTACTAATTATTATAGATAATTGGTTTGTAAAAATTGAGAATTTAAGCTTTTATGAAAACTAAACGAATTGTTTGATGATATTTTTTGTTTAGCATTAAGTAGCCTCAAAGGAAACATGACAAAACTAATTTTGCTTATAAATCTGCAAAAAATAATATTTAGGTTTTAAATAAAAATAAATATATATAAAATCCTATAAAATACCTTCTACTTTCTTACTATCAATATAAATGTATGGTACTAAAATAAAATAGAAATGAAGAGGGCACTGGTTCTCAATGGAACGAAGCAATGCGACAATGGCAGATCTTTTGTACTGCTAACCTTCCCTCTAACTGAACAGAATAAAGATAAGTATTTAATAAGTATTTAATATAAGTATTTGTATATTAATAATAATTTTTTTAAAATTTATTAATTATTAATAACAATTAAATTGTTCAAATTACGATTTATTTGCATGCTAAACAATATACCATTATTTGTTCGATAAATCGTTGCATACTTTCAGGCGCCAACATATAAAACCCTTAACATACAATAATTAATACATAAAGTACTATATACATTTTTAGGCGTATTCAGTCTTCACATAAATCGAATCGATACAAAACAATGAGAATGGGTTAAAATGTGAGTGAGAGATGGATGACAACTAACGAAGAAGAACACAAGAAAGAAAGCAACAAATAAGCAAAATTGCAAAAAAAAAAAGCAAAACAGAGAAGGATAGACAATATAGAACACAGATTTTTAGTCACACCATTCTATTGAGCTAAATATCTATTTTAGACTATATGTTTTAGTTACTTACTTATATCTAAAGTAGGTTAGTAACAGATTTTAGTAATTATTGTTATTCTATACTTTACATTAAGCTTACCTGTATTTCAACGCAATTTTAAAGCCGATTTTAAAGTTGTTATTGTATATGTATATGTGTATCTATGTGCGTGTACTTAAAGTGTAGATGTGAATGTGTGTAAATATGCATTAATGTTGTAGATACTAAGATTTTTTACATTGCTTTAAAATGCGATACTATTGAAACATTTGCAGTTGGAAGCGACGCACTTTTTGTTTAGATTTTACTCTTGTGACTCAAGTGACTCAAATATTCGATTTTTATTTATTATTTATTTTATTATTATATTTTCAGATTTAACACATACAAGCAAAATCATTTAAAAAAATAAAATCAATTAATTTTTTTTTAATTTAAACTTAATTATAATGAACTTAATGTTTTTTTTTTTGTTATTTAATAAACTCTTTTAACATATAATGATATATAATAAGGTGATGTGTGAGATACTTTTACTTGCTTATGATTATCTTTAAAATTCAATTTTATTTAATTTGTTTATATATAATATATTTTTTATTAATAAATTGTTCAAGTGTTTTAAGTTTGTTCTGGATGCTTTTATTAATTATTTTTGTTTAATTTTTTCATTTGTTCGATTAGCACTTTTTGTTCTAAAAGTAACTGAGCATTCTTTTCTTTTTTGTTCTTGTAATTTCTTAACAAAATATTTCTGGTTTGTATTGTCCCATTATGTCCAGACTTTTATCATCCTGTGTTGTACCAAAAATGAATGAAAAAAAGAGAAAATACGAATATTTATAGATGACTTTTTTTAACAAATACAAAATATATAGTAAATGTCAAAATTTAATTGCGAAATTAACGAGGGTTAAGGGTTCAGGTTAGGGTTTGTTAATATTGGTGTACAAAGTTAAAAACTGTTAAGTAAGAATTAAAGCGTGCTTATATATTTCTACAAAAATATACTTATTTTTTTATTATTAGTATAAAAATACAATAATTAACGAAATTATGAAAAGAATGTTAGAGAAAAAATTTCTGTTAGTGCTTTAAAGCAGCAGCAATTTTGTTAATGCTTTTCAACGAGTGCATTCCAAAAATACTCCAAAAGGCTTTATAAAATTTCAATTATTTACTCTTAGATACTTTAAATGTTTACATACAGTTCTTTATTTTTTGTTTTAAGTTAATCAATATACAGATAGATTTTTTTACACATTTCTTTATATACAATAGCTACGGAACTTAAACTCGATTATTGTTAAAACTGATTTCCTATTCTAAGCTATATCAGCAGATTCACTTAAAGTTCCAGCTGTTATATACAATAAATTAAAATCTGAGATTCATGCAGCAAATATTTTTTAATATATATAATTTATCACGAATTTAGAGAAACAGCTTTTGTGTTAATAAACTTTTTAACATTCAATTTTATCAGAACCATTTATTAGAGTCCAAAAAAAAATTAAAATAACTCGAGCGTGCACAGAAGCAATTAAAGCTGCGTTAGTCGATAAAAATTAGCTTCCTACATGAAAATAAATTAAATTAAATATTCCAGAACTAGTCAAATTTGACAGAAAATGAATCTCTAAATGAATATATATATATACAAAATTGTATACATATAATTACATATAAATTATATATATTATATAAAAATTAATTATTTCACTTCCTTTGAAATTAGTTTTGATTACTTTCCAAACAGACTGTGGAAAATAAGCAAAAGTATTTGATGGAAAAAAGGTTTTAAAAATTTTATTAATACATATAATATAATTTATTATATACACTAATTATTATTATATACAATAATATATTTTAAAATATACAAAATATTTTATTTATAATATTATTTGCTTAAATATTTCATTTTTAATGAAAAAAAGTTTTTGAAGAACTTTCTACAGAAAATATTTTTAAAGAGGTTTTCGGCAACAACAAAAATTTTTTTTATATTATTTTAATTAATTGAATTTTTGGTTGACCATACAGCTGTTTCGAGTATTACCAAATAACAATCATCAGTGGTCCTGGAAATAATTCTTGTATTTAATTATTCGTTAACAACTTTCGAACTCGTGCCCTGCCAAATTTGAAGTTAAGAGTCAGCGCTCCTTAACCAACTGACCCAAATATTTTTATAATAAAAATAAATGAAACTATACCATCAACTGTAAATTGTAGTTAATATTTCAAATTTCAAATAAAATCTTAAAATAAAAAGCATTTTATTTATTTGTATTTTATAATTTATTTATTGAAATTTTTGTGTTTCTTTCGTCAGCCTCAAAACTATTTAAAACAAACGTGCCTGTTATTGAAACATAAACAATCGTTCACGATAAAACTGAACGTGATCGTGATTGCTCACGAAAAGTAACTGAAGTTTGAAAAAAAAATAATATACATTTTCTATCATCGATGTGGTTTGGAAAAAAAAAAAAGAATTTATAACAAATTTTTTGTCAATGAGGTTAAAAAATAAAAATTGACAGTCGAGGCAGAATAGCGTCAAAGCTTCGTTACTTGAAATGATGAGAAGTAGGCAACCAAACTCACTTGTGTCTTATGAATCCCAATTAAGGAAGATGACGCAAAGTAATAATATTTTATCACAATAATAACAATTAAAGTTTATAACTTTTGAGGGAGTACATTTTTGTTAATAAATATATAATTACTATGACTATAAATGTTTTGTAGAGAAACACTAAGACTAAACTAATAAAATAAACTATATACTGATTTCTATGTTGCAAATATTGCTGCGTGACTTAAAGAAAAAAGCATCCATATGCTTAAACGTGGATCTCAACAAGACTGCAAAGTAATATAGTAGATGTTCCGGAGTTTTTTAATCGAGCATGGACAAATCCAATCTACAGAAGTTTAGTTAGGACAGATCCAGCCTGATCCCATATATTCTTATAGTAGTATATTTTGTGAGAACCCATATTATTTTAGATACTTTCTTGTTCATGCGAATTGAGTCATAAATTCTAGGGTATATAGATCTATTCACCTGTGATCAACAAGTAACAAGTAATCAACAAGTAATCATGTATCCATTTTTACTTGTGACTAACGGAAGCAGGAACTTTTTATTCTAGTGCCAAATATCTTTCTTAAGATAAATTTTTGTGAGATGTCTCCTTTATTCGTGTTTCTAGTACAATTACTTAGACAACAGTGTTGCCACTCTTTTTAATTTTTTTTAATTTTTGGATGCAATTAACTGTTTTCCACTTGCTTTATATTTTTTCAGATATTACTCACATAACATCAGATATATATTTCGTTTTGTAAGTATATTTCCATGTCTTTTGGACTTTTTCGATAACGCTTCCAACTGAGTAGATGAACACAATGAGTGAGTATGAGTAAGTGAAGTGAAGGTATTTATTTCATTATAGATTTTGTAAATCGTATATTTCCTTTTAAAACATGAATACAATTACATGTAAGTAACTCCACATCTTAATATTCAATGTCTGACGTGATTACTTGAGATGTATAACTTATTTTATGTTCGTTGCAACTAGTCTCTAAACTTTTTATTCATTTCGTTAACAATTATTAAATTACATCTTATACTAACTTATTTTTATGAATAGTATATTACTAAAAATAAGTAAAAGATTATTTTGTAAAGTAAAATATCTTATAATACTCAATATATGCATAAGTAATTATACAACTGCGTTAGTCATTAAGAAGCAAAATATTAAAAAAAACTGATTCAGGCAAGCAATGCAAATGCAAATCATGCTTAAGTAATAAACAACAACAACTTTGAGTATTTGTGAAGATAATAAAAAACGATTCGAACAGAAACAGCAACGGCAACAACAAAACACAACATCGAAAAAAGATACTTTATTTAGTGAGTAAAGAAAGATATGGATACCACCTTTAAGTTTATTTTAGGAACGCAAAATTTCGTACACAAATGAAAATGATTTCGATTTGAGCGTGAATTTTTACTTAGCGATCTGCAAAAATATTTATACAAAAATATTTAAACTAAATAAGATGAATTCGAGTACAAAAATCACAAAAATCACAAAAATGGAACACATAATTTCTTTATTAAATATTTATATTTGCTGATAATAAACGCATATTTATTTACAATACACACACTCGGACACTTCTCGCCACATAAAGATACAATACAGATTGAAACAGATTGAAAGACTTAAGGACGTTCACTTTTCAAATGCAATTTATTTACTCAAGTTTCTATTGAAGCCAATTGAGGCAATTGCCTTATGGACGCGGCAGGGAGTAGTGAATGTGGACGGAGTGCAGCGCTGAGGCAAGTAAGTATCTGCATCACTTAACTATTCTCAGCGCACACATACTGAGATGTTGTCATGCAAAATAATTTATTTTTATAGTTTTCCAATAAAAAAAATATAAAAAGTCAAAGAAATAAAAATGAAACAAAGTAAAAAATTAATAGAAGTGCATTGAAAATTGATATGGCGGGCAGGGCGAGGGCGAGGCGGTCGGTCAGTAACCGATAATGTATAATACCGATGATGATGATGCAGTTTGCCCGATGATGCAATGCAATGCAAATGCAATTAAGGGTGTCGACAAATGTTAAGTTCTTTACAAAAACACAATAAAGTTTGTATGGAAAGTTGGAGTGAGTGATTAGATGTATGGAATATCATAGACACTTATTATTTTGCAAGTCATAGCTTGCATGTGTATGAAGAGATGCATTCTTCCATTGGAGGAAATATTAGCAGAACCCATCAATGAAAAACGAACAAAAACTTGTTCCAAGTGAAACGATAAAAAGAAAAAACTCTTTTTTGATATAAGAATGGAGCCGTGGTGTAATCTAATATAGTCATTGTGGTATGGGAGAACTAGAGAACTATGAGAACGAACAGTGGTGTAACCTAACAAAGTCAGGTTACATATTCATTATCTGTCAGATAAAAAAAGAAATTTTACTTCAAATTTTTCTTAATTAATACTACAAAAGATAAAAAATAATCAAACTTAATACACTGAGTTAAAAACACTCTATCTGTAATATAAGAATATGAATAAGTAGTAGAGTTTTTATTTTTACTATAAGCATATCAGGTTGTAAGTGTATCTAGAATGTTACTATGAGAACATTAGTATAACGTATTATAGCCAGTTAAGTGATAAGATGAAGTTACTCTTTCTCTTTCATAGAAGAGTAGAACTATATTTCTAGTGTTACCTAAGTTCTAAGTTCACTTTGATTTAATTTAATATAGCCAGTTTAAAAATAAAAAGAAGCCACACCTTATATG